TTTGAGAAGCATTGCCTTAATTCTCACTCTAATCCATCTGTAGGTACAAGCCTAGCTATGGCCCTCCTCTATTCTGAATACCAGTAGCTCCCTATTACTTCTAGGATCAAATAGAAAGTGTTTAGCTTTACCACCTGGCCCCAATCTAACTTCAACCTTGCATATTACTTTCCTTCCTGAACTCTTACGTCTAGCTATATAGGCTTTCTGAGGGATTTTGGTAGTGCAGTGGCTGCAGTACTGGCCCTTGAGTCAGGAAGACCTGAGTTCAAATCTAGCTTCAGACACCTACTAGCTTTATGGTGGTGGGCAAATCATTTAACCTCTGTTAGCTTCAGTTTTCTTATCTGTAAAATGGGGATAACAACAGTACCTACTTCTCAAGGTTGTTGTGAGGGTCAAGTGATAGAATATTTGTAAAGTGCTTAGCACAGGGCCTGTCACATAGCAGGCACTTAATAAATCTTCCTGCCTTGCTTCTCTCCTTCTTGCTGTTCCTCACACATAACACTCCCTTTTCTGTCTCAGTGCCTTTGCACTTGCTGCCCCTCAGGTTAAATGCACTCCCTCCTCCCTCCCTCTGTAAGACTGCCTTGTTTCTTTGCACATTCAGCTCACATGCCATCTTCTAGACTAAGTTTCCTCTGATCTCCCCAGCTATGGTGCCCCCTCCTCACTAAGTAGTATTTATTCAGCATATGCTTAGACATTTATATCCCTTGATGGAATGTAGGCTCCTTGAGGGCAGGGACTTTTACTTTGGTGCTTAATAAATGCTTGTTGATTTAATGATTACTCCTCAACATTACAGTCATTCAGATATTTGAAGATAACTGTCCTGATCTCCCTAAGTTCTTCTCTAGGCTAATCATCCCCAGTTCATTCAACTAATCCTCATATGGCATGACCTCAAAGCCCTTCACCATCCTTGTCAACCTCCTTTGGACACAATAAAGCTTACCATGTTGTAAAGGGCCATCATTATAGATGAGTTCATAGATGAATTCATCTTCTCTTCAAAACCTTCCCAACAACCACATTTCTGTCAATAGTACCACTATCATTCTGCCATGCTTCTTCCTGGTCTAGGAGTCTGAATGAATGAATGAACATTTATTAAACACTTAATACATACAAAGCACTGTGCTAAGTCCTGGGGATATAAACAGAAAAGTCAGATAGTCCCTCCTCTCAAGGAATTTAGATGCTAATGGGTCAAGATAATGTATGTGAGGTTCCAGCTGCAAATCAGATGGAAATGTCTATTGGTCCTTAGGTAAAGCAGCAAAATAGATGGTATGTCATTTCTGGTGACAAAATCACATCAGTTTCCAATACTGAATGATTTGACAGTGCCAAAGACTTTGGTGGGTCTTCAGAAGCTGTGGTTATAGCATCAGCAGAAGTAGTTACCAGGTTTCAATTTCACAAGTATTGCTCCCTGGGATAATTAGTGGCCGTGGAGGTTGGGCTAAGTGACCTTGGGGATGTTACCATTCCTAGTGCTCTTGGGTTTATCTTCTTATTGGTTACAGTTGGTCAGGGGTTAGTGTCACTGCTGTTGAGGAAGGTAGGCCCTTTCTCCACAGGGATCAGTCCATTTGTTAATGGCAACAGAGGCCAGTTTGGAAGCAGGATTGGTGGTTTGGGAAGCACTGCTGTTCCCAGGACTCTTTGGTTCAGCGTCCTGAGCTATCTCCCTTTGAAATCATTCAAAATCCATTAAACTAAGCTTTTACTCTTCCCTTTAAAAGGAGGTGACTCAATGCTAAGGGGAAAGAAAGACAAAAATCATCGAACCAACCCCACCACATTCAGTCTTGCTAATAGAAGCTCCCAAGATAATTTACATGGATTAGAAACATCATGGAAATTGAAAGGAATTTTCTTACTCTAGCTCAAAGTATAGAATGAATTCAAGAACTGGAAGAAAAGGAGCAAAAAAAGGGCAAAATTATAGCTCTAGGAAGGGTTTCTTAACCTGGGGTCCATGAACTTAAAAGATGTATATGTATATATAAAAGAAAACATTTCATTTTTATATATATATATATATATATATATATATATATATATATATTATATATATATATACACACACACACATATGTATATATAATGTTTTCCTTTATAGAGATGGACAATGGGGGCGTCCTTGAACTCCTGGGGGATAACCTCTTCTTGTCATATAACCCCAATATTTCAGTCAGCTTTTGTATGAGCAGTGGACCCTCTGCCTTGTAAATCTCAATTACAATAGAATCAGCATTGGGCACTTTGCCACATGAGGGGAGTCTAATGGCATTCAAAACTTCTTCTTCACTTGGAAGTTTGATTAAGAGGGATTGACTTCAACCTGAGGTAGACAGTCAATGGCTTCAACATTGATTGATGACAGTCTTTTGAGAACACTCTGAAAGTGTTCAGCCCCTTTCCAGGATCATGCAGTTATCACTGATCAGTGTGGCTCCATTAGCACTAAGTAGCTGAGATGCACCAAAGGTCTTTGGCCCATAAATAGCCTTCAGGGCATTGTAGAAGGTCTTTGGATTATTGCTATCAGCTTAAAATTGAATTTCATCTGCCTTCTTACTGACTGTAGAGTGTTCAGGGAGGACTTGTATCTCTGTGTGAGGGCTCCTGAGCCTGCCACTGGTTGCCACCTGGCACCAACTCAAGAAGCTACATACAGCATGTGCAACAGCCACACCTCAATAAAACCATCTTGGCAGATGGGCTAAACCAGGTTGAGGGAAACCAGCAGGGCTCAAATTTATCAGTGAATTAGGGGGGTGCCTACCCTAAGCATGTGATTACTTTTCTTGACAGAATGGGCAGATATGAATAATGAAGGCAGAGAAGCAGATGCTATGGAACACTTAGAGGTTGGTTAGACATGGAAGATGCCAAGGTCATCTGCCATATACCAAGCCATCGCCCCTTGTCTTGACTTTTGTGTTGCCACTGGACTCTTATGATTCTGGGAGAGAGGGTGAGGCTGATGACTTCTTGTAACTCTGCTTCACTTAAATACAATTTACACACGAGTCAAAAGATATCACCCATACCTTTTTATTATTTTATCATTTTACTATGCTATAATTTTACCATTTTACCTGTGGCAACCAGCTGGTGATGAAGCAGCAGGTGTGGATACACTGGGAGCTGTAGTCACAACCCTGCACACAGGAGGCCCAGGCCATAGGGTCATCTTCTCACTGGACTGAAGCAGCAGTGGGATTTGGCAGCCCCCTGGGTGTCTGAGCAGCCTTTTTGGGTATTATACTGCTCATCTCCTGGTGTGAGGAAGGGGCTGGAAAAAGTGCCCTAAAAATCGTCTCCTTACCCAACTCTGGCTTGTTTACCACAGCAGGTGGGGATCTTACCCTGTGATTAAAATATAAAAAAAAAAATTATAGAAAAACTATGGGTACATGGAATGTGCATATGCTAATGGACAACACAAAATCCAGTAGACCAGAGAGATGAACAGCTTTGGTTGGGAGAGAACTCAGCAGGCATCACATCCAAATAGCAGCCCTGAGTGAAACAAGACTGACAAATGAATGCCAGCTTACCACAGTTGGTGCTGGATACACTGTTTTTTTGAGTGGCTGCAGTGAAGGGGAGCACTGGGAAGCTGTTGTGGGTTTCACAATCAAATCTAATCAGTCAGCAAGCTTGTATGCCTCCCAAAGGAGTGAATGACAGGCTTATGACAATGCGATTGTCACTTGTAGAAAGCACTACCATCATCAGTGCATATGCTCCCACCATGATGAACCTTGGTCAGGTCAACGAAAATTTTTTATAAAGAGCTAGAGACCCTCATCATCAATGTGCCAAAAAAGGACAAGCTTGTAATGTTGGGTATCTTTAATGCCAGGGTTGGTACAGATTATGAGACAGGGCAGGGAGTCCTTGGAAATGGAGTTAAATGGAGTCAGAAACAGCTACAGCAAGGGTTACTTAATACTGAAGACGTGTGTCTCATGATCTCATCATCAACACTGTCTTCCATTTACCTAAACACAATAAAACTTTTTGGATGCATCCTAGAAGCAAAAATTGGCATCTAGTAGACTACATGTGGTGCAGAGAACTGAACTACCAGAATCTTGAGTAGGTGATAAATACAGGATGGATGAACCTCAAAGGAGAAGCTACTTAGTGATGGTGGTAGGAAAGCCTGGAAATGAACGCAATAGCTAGCATCTGTATAGGGCTCTTGGCTCCGCAAAGCACTTCGACAGATGTTTACATTTTACAAGAGAGGAAACTGAGGCAGGCAGAGGTTAAGTGACTTGTCCAGGATTACGGAGGTTCTGAGACCAGATTTTAACTTGGCTCTTATCTGATTCCAGTCCTGCCTCTACCTTCCGAACACACACAGACCGCCCAGCCCGGGTGGGAGGCTCAGCTGCTCCACCCCTACCCCCGTCCCTCACCTAGTCCAGCCCGGCCCCAAGGGAAAAGAAAGGATCCAGGCACCAGCTTCAGCACCAACGCATCCCCCGCTGGCCTGTGAGACGGGAGAGCCACTGCGGGCCGCCAGGGGGCGCCCTCGCACAGACGCCAGGCCTAGGGGCCGAGCCCGCCGAGGAAGCTCAGCGGCCGGAGGATGGGCAGTAGGAGCCGCCCTCGGGGCAGCCGCAGGTCTCCGGGCGTGGGCCATCGGCGGTTTCCTCGGCAACTCTAGAGTACCGCCCCACCCGAGCCTCCCGGACTACGCCTGGGGTGCTCTTTTCACCGCCGCCAGCAGGGGGTCGGGAGCAAAAGAGCCAGCGCCGGGTACCAGTACTGAGGGGCCGCGGAGGGAGAGTACGGGCCCTTTAAGAGCTGAGCGACGTGGGGGCGGGGCCGCCCCGCCTCCCGCGGGCAGGCATGCGCAGGAGCGCTTCCCCGCGGCGCGGTCCCGGTCCCTCTCTGCCCCCGCCCCTTTCTGAGCCCTGGGTTCCTTAGAAACGGCCGCAGTCCCGGCCACGCGCGAGGCCGCCGCCGTCTCCCGGCGCGCCCCCCCGCCCTCGCCCTCGCCCGCTCCCGCCCCGTCCCGTCTGGTCCCGCAGCTCGCGTCCCCGCGCGCCGAGCTCCCGGCTGCCGTCGGGCCCCGCATGGGGCCGTCCCTGGCCCCAGGGCCCCCGGCGTGGCCTGAGGAGGGGGTGCTGGGAGGCTCGGGCCGCACCTCCGCGGGCCCCGCGCGCCAGGTGAGAGCGGGGAGCGGCGGCCTCGGCTGGGGAGGGCCGTTGGGGGAAGGGGCGGTTACCTAGGAGATGGAAGGGGCGGGGCCGCGGACGCGTGGACCGCCAGCCTCCCGGCCTCAGTTTCCCGCTCTGTAAAACCAGGGGCTTGGGCTTGGTCACGGCCGTGAGCCTTTCCAGTTCTGCATCCTGGCACCTTGCCCGAGGCCCCGGGGATAAGAGCCGTTCCCACCCCCTGGTTTTACGAACGGGGAAACTGAGGATTCAAAGAGGGGAAGCCGCGGCTGGCCCGGCCTCGGTCCGGGGGCAGTGACAGAATCCGCATTCAAACCCAGGACTCGCAGCTTCGTGTTCTGCCCCTCCGCTGCCTTCTGTTGTGCTTTGGCCTCCTTCTCGGCTCCCCCAAGCTGTAGGTTTTGGGGGGCGAACCCCTGTGCGGGCCCCCCCCCATCCTCCAGGCATCCTTGACCGCCGGGTGTTCGGTCTGTGGTTAAATGCTTTGAGTGATCGGAAGCTGATGAAGGACCGAGGCTGCCGCCCTTTGTTGAATGCCTCTGATTGTGATCAAGTTATTTGCTATGTTCGGATGAGGAAGGGAGGGAGGGAGGGAGAAGGAGAGGAGAGGAGGGAAGAAAGGAGGGAGAAAGGAAGGAGAGGAAGGAAAGAAAGGATGGAAGAGAGGGAGGAAGAAAAGAGAAGGAAGAAAAGAGAAAGGGAGAGGAAGGGAGGAAGAAAAGGGAGGGAGGAAAGAAAGGAGGAAGGAAGGGAGAAAGGGAGGGGGAAAAGGGAGGGAGAGAAGAAGGAAGGAAAGAAAGGATGGAAGAGAGGGAGGAAGTAAAGAAAGAAGGGAGAGGAGAAAGGGAAAGGGAGGAAGGGAAGAAGAAAAGGGAGGGAGGAAAGAAAGGAGGAAGGAAGGGAGAAAGGGAGAGAAAGAAGGGAGGCAGAGAGGAAGGAAGGAAAGGATGGAAGAGAGGGAGAAAGAAAAAGAGAAGGAAGGAAAGAGAAAGGGAGAGGAAGGGAGGAAGAAAAGGGAGGGAGGAAAGAAAGGAGGAAGGAAGGGAGAAAGGGAGGGGGAAAAGGGAGGCAGAGAGGAAGGAAGGAAAGAAAGGATGGAAGAGAGGAGAGAAAGGGAAAAGAAGGGAGGAGAGAAAGATGGGAGGAAAGAAAGAAAAGAGAGAGGGAAGAAAAAAGGAGGAAGGAGTGGAAGGAGGAAAAAAGGAAGGGAGGAAGGAAGAGAGGGAAGGAAAAAAGTAATCATTTATTAAGTGCCTCCTATGTGCCTGGCACCATGCTAAGACTTTACAAACATTCTGTCAATTTGATTCTCACAACAACCCTGGAAGAGTAACAGCAGCTCTAGTTTGCATGGCACTTTGAGAGGTATGAAAAGCACTTGGCTCACAACAGCTGGGTAAGGTACATGATGCAAGTAGGATCACTATTTTACAGACAAGGAAACAGATTGAGATTTAAGTGACTTGTCTGTGGTCCCATTGCTAATAATCTTCTGAGCCCAGCTCTCCAGAGTCCATGAGACTGCTGTTCTAAAGGCTGTTCCCATCACACTACATACTTTCTGACTATTAAGAGCCCTTTGGAGATCCAAGCACAGCAGGAGGGTTGCTGCAGGGAACCTCCTAGAACCCTCCCAACCAGGTTGGTGTGGTGGGAAGAACAACTGCATCTGAAATCAGAAGTTCTTGGCTCAGTTCCTACTTAGGCTCTTTGGCCTTTGCTTCTTTGATATGGCCTACATGACTCCTAAGGCCCCTGCTAGCTCTAATGGTGTGTGACCTGAGTGATTACCATACTTACATTAGAAAGACATGGTTGTGGAACAGACCATGAAAAATGGGGCAAGTGGGCAGAAAAATCAAGTAATGACAGCTTCTTATTTGTGGGCAACAGGGATTTCCATGAATAGAATTGTCTGTCAGATTTTGATTCACAGGATACTGTGATGCATTGAATGTAGAATGTTAGGGTTGGAAAAGGACCTCGGAGATCATAGAGTTTGGTCTTGTCATTTTACAGTGGAGGAAACAGCTTGTCCAAAGGTACAAATTAGTCTACAAGTGTTTGTGATCATCAGTGGAACCTCCACCTTTTAACTCCTTGTCAAGTAAACCTTCTACTTCACTTCCTTCCTAATTCTACTAAGAAGGGGAAGTTGAAATTGGAGCTTTAGATCCCTCAAGGAAGTGTCTCATTATGTTGGGAAAAGCCTGGGATTTGGAGTTGGAAGAACTGTGTTTGAATGTTGTCACCTTACTTGTCTGGACCTAGAAAAGAGGAAGTTGGACTCATTGATACCAGAGGTCCCTTTCAGCTCTAAACTCCTGCTTTATCAAAATGTCAGAAGCAGCTCTCAGAGGAATTATTAATCCTTCAGCATCTCAAGGGTCTGAGGTTTTTTATCAGTATGAGAAACAAAGATAGGATTTTGAAATAGAGGACACTTGCCAAAAAAAAATAGAGAAATGAATCCAGAACCTCATGAGTGTAGTTTTCCCTTTTTAAAAAATGCAATTTGATGTAACTTTTGAATAATTCCACACAAATAAACAGGGATTTTTCATGGATTAAAATGTCAAAATCCCGCTTTACATAAGAAATACCTGACAACTTGGAAGAATCTTATTAAATATGTTTCATTAGTTAGCGCTTAATCCTTACCTCCTTATGTTTTAGACTTATTTTTGCCTTTTAAAAGGGAGCAGGTGGACCTAGAGAGACAAATGAAAGATGATATCCCCATATCAAAGCAACGTCACAAGTCACAGCTGGTGGTGTCCAAAGAACTGCAGATTAGTCATCCTGTACCCATCACAAAATATAAATACATACACATGATGTGCAAGTAAAGTGCTTAAAAAATTAAGGGCCAGGTTAAATATGCTGCTGCTTTTTGGTCTGGACTTATGATTTCCTCATTGTAAGGCAGAGAATTACCTCTACTCTTGCAGACTAGTCACTGCTTAGCAATTTAGAATCTTGAGTTGCCACACAACCAACATGGCTCAGAGGCAGGAGAGAGGAAGCTAAGGGAGAAATTTAAAGAAGCTTAAAGAAAAACAGGGATAGTTCAAATTATGAAGTATCTAAAATCCACCATTCCTATGGTACCATACCTATAGTGTGAGGTGTGCTTATAAGGAAAACAAATGCTCCTTGGCAGGACTGCAGAAGGAATAATTATCCTGGCTTTGCTAACCAGTGTTTGGCCTAAAGGATGGTCACAGGGGGCTCTCTCGGAGCTTGCTATAAGTTAGATGAAGTCAGCACCTGTCATTGGTTTCAGTACTTCATTGTGTAGGGAACATAGACTTAAATAGCTTATATTACAGCTAACATGTAGGCCCCTCCAGTGCTTCACCTGTTTCCAACCTTAATGTTTATGCTCTAGCTGGGAGATATAGAGATTTTGGCCTTGTTAAAGTAGGACTGCAATGAACTTGGCTGAAATTAATAAGACCATCATCACCTCTCTTTTGGGAAAATTTGACATAGATTTTTTGGAAATAGTATTTTATTTTTTCCCCCAATTACATGTAAGGGGCAGCTAGGTGGCACAGTGGATAGAGCACCGGCCCTGAAGTCAGGAGGACATCAGTTCAAATCCGGCCTCAGACCAAACACTTGACATTTACTAGCTGTGTGACCCTGGGCAAGTCACTTAACCCCAATTGCCTTAAAAAAAATACAACCCCCCCCAAAGCCAATTATATGTAAAGATAGTTTTTAGCATTCATTTTTTATAAAATTTTGAGTTCCAGATTTTTTTGCCCTTTCTCCCTCCCTTCCATCTCCCCTTCCCAAGATGGTAAGCAATCTGATATAGATTATATGTGTGCAGTCATGTAAACATATGTCCATATTAGTCATGTTGTGAAAGAAGAAACAACAAAAGGGAAAAGCCATGAAAAAACAAAAAAAAGTGAAAATAGTATCCTTTGATTTGCATTCAGATTCCATAGTTTTTTCTCTGGATGTGAATGGCATTTTCCATTATAAGTCTTTTGGAATTGTCTTGAATCATTGTATTACTGAGAAGAGCTAAGCTGATTCACAGCTGATCATTGTATAATGTGGCTGTTACTGTGTACAGCATTCTCCTGGTTCTGATCACTTCACTCAGCATCAGTCCATACAAGTCTTTCCAGTTTTTTTTTGAAGTCTGCCTGCTCATCATTTCTTATAGCACAATAGTATTCCATTATATTCATATACCACAACTTGTTCAGCCATTCCCAATTGATGGGCATCCCCTCCATTTCCAATTCTTTGCTACCACTTAAAGAGCTGCTATAAATATTTTTGTGCATGTGGGTCTTTTCCCCTTTTTTATGATCTCTTTGGGATACAGATCTGTTAGTGGTATTGCTGGGTCAAAGGGTATGCACAATTTGATTGCCCCTTGGGCATAGTTTTGACATGGATTTTTAATGCTACCTATTGCTTTATCTTGTAGAAGAGAATAGGTGTTATATATCTCACTTGACTCATTATTGATTAGAACTTGTAGCCTTTATTCATTTTAAGAGGAAGCTAACAGTGACTATTTTATAATCATTAGTCCTATATCATGAGATAATTATCAGAAGAGACCTGAGAAATGACCTCATCCAATCGCATCATATGGAGATGAGGAAAATGAAGTTTAGAGGGTGACTTGCCCAAGGTCACACAGATTAGCGTAGAACTGAAACTAGAATTTAGGTCTTGTTATTCCTTATATTCTTTCCATTCCCCTCTGTCACACTGCTTTAGTTTTATAATTATTGGAATGATCCATTCATTAATGGTAAAGGAATATTAAGAAAATGTAATTTTTTTTGGATACTTCTCTAGATCTGTGGTCTCATTAACATGGGCAACTCTTTGCAATAATCCACATCACATTAAATCTGAGGAGACTTCCTCTGGACCTCTGGATATTGCATGAGTATCAGCAAAACACACGTAGTTATCTAGGTCCTTGGGTGCAACCTTTTGACTGAGTCCAA